TGCATAATCAAATACTAATCACCTATTGATGTTCCTTTTGGCCCAAAGCTGTAAAAACCTATAGATTGGAGGCAGCGTACTGGGAGGTATTGGGAGCCTACTTCTGTGCCACCATCTTTTGTGTTGGTTTCTTTTGAAATTCTGACAGGAATCCTCCGTTACTTTGCTTCTTAACTTTTAAGGTGCCACCACTTCATCTGAATGTAAACACTTGTCCTCTTGCCTGGAAAAGCTAGTATTACTTTCATTTCAGCTTTCATCTTAACAATGTTCAAAGTAGGAGCAAAATCAAATATGCTGTTTAAATGCCTTTTTTATTACATTTTCTTAGTTAGAGTTTGAAATTGGCTATGACTAATCTGCACCAGAATCAAATTTATAGTTCTCCATTATTGTCTTATTTGTTTTTTCATTCCCACTTAATTCCTACATTTTATCCTGTTGCAGGATTAAGCCTTATCATGGAAGTAGAAGACCCCATGAGTCCCATTATGGCAATTACCCCTGTGACTCCAACAGATAACAATGAACCACCCACTTCTGAGGAACAGCCTAGTAAACGTAGGAGAAAGAAGTCTATTGTCTGGGAACACTTCACAATTGAAACTGTTGGAGCTGGCTGTATGAGAGCGTGCTGTAAACAGTGCAAGAAATCATTTGCATATATAACTGGTTCAAAGCTTGCAGGAACCAGTCACCTCAAGCGACATATTGCCCTGGGGATCTGCCCTGTAAGCCGTCAGAAAAATGAATCATCACCATATACACCAGGCTCGAAAACAGACCCTCCTAAAAAACGTTTCCGAGCATCTCCTGGATTCTCAGGCATTCCCTTGGATCAGGACCGCTGCAACCATGAGATAGCTAAGATGATCATTCTGCATGATTATCCACTCCACATAGTGGAACACCCTGGTTTCATTGATTTTGTCCGGACTCTTCAACCTCATTACAATATGGTGAGTTTCAACACCATTCAAGGGGAATGTGTGGACGTGTACCTGAGGGAGAAGCAAAGGCTTTTGAATCTTATCAATGGAATTCCTGGACGAGTCAACCTTACGTTGGATTTTGGGATTTCGAATCTAGATATTGGATATGCTTTCTTAACAGGTCACTTCATTGATGGTGATTGGAATTTACAGCGACGAATCCTTAATGTTGCCACGTTACCTTTTTATGATTCTGATTATGCGTTCAACCAAGCAGTTGTGTCTTGCCTATCTGATTGGCATTTGAGGAGCAAGTTATTTACTCTCACTCTTGATCAATCCTTCTCAAATGAGAATGTAATTGGAAATCTAAGGGGACTTCTTTCTGTCAAGAACCCATTTGTGCTCCATGGTCAGTTACTAAAAGGGAGTTGCTATGCTCGAGTGTTAAGTCATCTTGCACAAGATGCACTCAGTGCCACAGGGGAGATTGTTAGGAGAATCCGTGAAAGTGTGAAATATGTGAAAACCTCGGAAGCTCACGATGAGAAGTTTACTGAACTCAGGCAACAACTTCAAGTCCCTAGCACAAAAATCCTCATTATTGACAATCAAACTAAATGGAACACGACGTACCACATGCTGGTGGCTGCCAGTGAATTGAAGGAAGTTTTTGCGTGCTTAGACACCTCTGATCCTGTTTACAAGATAAACCCATCAACTGATGATTGGAAGAAGGTGGATATTCTCTGCACATACTTGAAGCTTTTATATGATGCAGCTAACATTTTGACAGGCCCAACATACCCACCTGCCCATGTATTTTACCATGAAGTGTATAAAATCCAGTTAGAGCTGACACATGCAACCATGAGCCAAGACCCCTTTGTCAGTAACCTGATCAAACCCATGAAAGAAAAGTTTGATCAGTATTGGAAGGATTGCTTCCTTGTTTTGGCAATCGCAGTGGTCATGGATCCAAGGTTTAAGATGAAGCTTCTAGAATTTAGCTTCCCAAAGGTCTTTGGTGAGGATGCTGGTATGTGGATCAAGAGTGTTGATGATGGCATTCATGAACTCTTTCTAGACTATCTTGCTCCCAATATTCATCTACCAGCAGCATATGTGGAAGAAGGGCATATTAGCCTTACTCAATCAGACACTCTTCAAGAGGTCGAAGTAGCACCTGCTCCAGATGGATATTCCCAAGAACTGCACCCTCATGTACCTCTTCAAGTCGCACACCCTGACAAATCAAATCCTCAAGAAGTGCCTCTTCAAGATGGCCACCATCAGGAGGTATTTCCTCAGGAGTCACTCCCCCAAGAAGTGCCCTCACAAGCATTAACCCCTCAAGAGATGCACGTGGAAGAAATGCCTTCCCAAGAAGTATCCATTCATGAGATACACACTGAAGTGTCCTCTCAAGAACCGCCCTCTCAAGAAATGCATGCTCAAGATATAACACCTCAAGAATCACACACGGAAGAAGCACCTTCTCAAGAGATGCAGAGTGATGATGCCTCTCAAGTACCCCCTCAAGATATTAACACTGAAGAAGTAAACCCCCAAGATACTCATGCTGAAGAAATTCCCTCCCATGAAGTACCTGTTCAAGAGATCCACCCAAATGAAGTTCCCTCCCAAGAGGTATCTGTTCAAGAGATGCAGGCAGAAGAAGTGCCAGCTCAAGCAATGCAGACAGAAGAAGCGCTTCCTCAAGCAATGCAGGCAGAAGAAGCCCCACCTGAAGAGATGTGCCCAGAAGAAGCGCCGCCGGAAGAGATGTGCACCAAGGAAGCGCCGCCGATGCGCACTGAAGAGGCGCTGCTGGAAGAGATACGCACAGAAGAAGCGCCGCCTCAAGAGATGCAGATGGAGGAAGCGCCGCCTCAAGAGATGTGCAGAGAGGAAGCGCCGCCTCAGGAGATGCAGATGGAGGAAGCACCGCCTCACGAGATGTGCAGAGAGGAAGCGCTGCCTCAAGAGATGTGCAGAGAGGAAGAGCCGCCTCAAGAGATGCAGATGGAGGAAGAGCCGCCTCAGGAGATGTGCAGAGAGGAAGCGCCGCCTCAAGAGACGCATACCGAGGAAGCGCCACCTCAAGAGACGTGCATGGAGGAAGCGCCGCCTCAAGAGACGCCAACAGAGGAAGCACCGCCGCAAGAGATGCATACTGAGGAAGTGCCTCCTCAAGAGATGCAACTCCAAGTAATCCATCAAGAGATGCAGCCTCTAGAATTGCACACTCAAGATCTACCTATGCTTTCTATTGGAGATGGGCTTTCAGATTTTGATATATATATTTCTGAGATTACAAGTGGGCAACATTTGAAGTCGGAATTGGATCAGTATCTAGAGGAGTCTCTTCTTCCTCGGGTGCATGAGTTTGATGTAGTAGGTTGGTGGAAACTAAACAGGCTGAAGTACCCAATGCTTTCGAAGATGGCTGCTGATATTTTATCAATACCAGTATCTACTGTTGCTCCTGATTCTGTGTTCGACACTGAAAACAGAAAGATAGATAGCTACAGGGGTTCACTACTTCCTATAACACTTGAAGCCCTTGTATGCGCCAAGGATTGGCTCCAGCATGGATCATCGTTGTCATCATCATCACAGGAGATTTCTAACGCACTTGTGAAGAAAGAATTTTAGGTCTTGTGGAGGAACATCTTTCGTCCTACAGCCTGGGCACATTTGACTTGTTTGATTTTTAGGTTTATGCAATTGTTTTTCCCTTTTCTTCTCATTTATACTGCCAATATAAGATGTTTGATTAGGATTTGTCATGCTACATCGGACCTGGAACTAATCTTGGTTTCAGTGATCACTTTGGATTATTGCATTCTGCCATTAGCGTTTTTGTTTATGCTAATATCAATTTGCAGGGTTCTGTTTCCATTCCTGTGGGATTCTCTTCGCTTCATCATGTATGTAAAAAAAAGAAAAAGAAATCCAAATCAGCATCTCATTTTCTTCTTTCTCGTAGCTTTAGCTCGGTGATGTAAACCTGCCCCCGTGGATTATGGTGAATAATCATTTGGCTTTAGCCTGGAAATGTTACCAGTTGTAGTTCTGAATAATCGTTTCCATGGGGGAGCTGTGCAGGTATATTGATCGATCATAAGTTGAATGCATGCATGCGCGCTTTCAAAGGATACAGGAATTTGGCTTCGAATGCTTGAAAAACTGAAGTAACTTATGCGAGAGATAGTTCATCAATGGTTCCTCCCTCTGAAGTTATACTATAAACTTATGCGGAACAGAGACTGTAACAAGCACCAGTGGTCTAGCGGAGCTGTGATAATGTTGTCCATCATTAGCATCTTTTTAGATGAATGCTTTGTCATCTGAGCTAATTCCTTTTACGTTTTTTCAGTTTCTTTTTCTATATAAAAAAATAAAAAATAGCTAATTCTAATATTAGTGAATTACTTTCTTGGATATTTGTAGCATCCACGCCCAAAAAAGAAAAAACGCAATATAAACAGTGAGAAGGTCGCAGTGTTAGTTTTTAGGGTTTCAAGTTTAATATGAGTATTAGCTGAATTAACAAAACCTAAAAGAGATACGGTTTTCTGGAGGCTAAGATACAAAACATTGGAATAATATAATAATGATCTTGCCATTTTATACAAAAATCAATGTCCTTGTTGATGGTGTACGTGATTCATTAATCATTATATTCAGACAAAAATATCTTTTTCATATTTTTATGGTATAGTAAATTAACTTAAATAACTTTAAAAGCAAATAAAAACAGTAAACCAAGGTTCAAGAAAACCCCAGGCTGCAGCTTGATAGAGATGAATGGCATTGTCCGTGAACTTGTTGCCGGTGACCAGTTACATCCTAAAACAAAAGAGACTGTGCTGTCCATTAAAGGTTCAACCAGCAAATGATGCCTAATCTTAGGAAAGTTCACGTAACCTATATTGACAATGCGGTATGAACAAGTTTCATAAGATCACACCACCATTGCTGCTGCTGCTGCTCCTTGCAAAGTCGCAGGGATAAAAAAGTGCTGCATCACAAATATGGAAGTAGATGACAGGTCTACGAAAGTTTTAAAAGAACGAGAGATGAGAGAATCTTTACTATCTCATTTGATTGTTGAAAATGATCATTTACAGTACAACATATATAAGGATTCAGTTGCAATTACACAAAGGGTTCAACCAAGATATAAACCTAATTTGTCGACAACCACTAACAGCTTTATCTTACTCTCAAACTCATGCTACTACTTGTCGTACATCAGCACTCCGCTTGTCATCAAGATCAATTCCCATCTGTTCCCTCACTGCAACAAAACATGATTCACCATAGCCAGTTGGGAGTTATTCAAACCCTTCTAAATAACCAGTAACATGCGAGATGCCCATGAGTAAATCTAGATGTCAGCTAATATCATTATAGACAAACAAAGCCAAATGATGGCATCTCATTTGAAGCTATGGAACTGCTAGTAAAAAAGCCAAATAGAGACTTTTAATTCTTGGTTTGAGGGAAGACATTTTCTCACAGAGTTACAGATATTCATACTCATGTTTCCTTGCAAATGAGTTTGGCAATCACAGCAAATTTATAGAGCATACGATAAATAAATGCAAATCAATGACGAACACATCAAGTAACAATTCTGAAGAGAACACGTACTCTTCCATTGCTAATAAATCATCACTTAGTTCCTTCCAGTACTGGTTTGTAATTTCAACGATTTAAACCACACAAGGGAGGAAAAAGAAGACGAGAACACTTCAAAATCAAGTTGATGGAAGGTTTTTTTTCTAAGTTTTAGTCTATGGTGAAGTAAAGCTTCAAAAAACCACAAATCATAAGGAATAGCATATCTTACACTGAGAAAGGATAAGTAGAGGCACCAAGAACCAAATGCTGCTACATTTTGATGAGGGTTTCGCATCATCACATTTACATCAATTCAAGTAGCATTTTCTTCTAACATGTCACTTCCATGTTCAATGTTTCCTTAAAACCAGCGAGGGAAGGGAGATATTAACACAGTAAATGCAATCCAAATCCGTTGAGCTATTTATGGAATATGATCATAATATGAACTTCTGCACGTTTGCAAATCCAAATCGCAACAACTCAATCAAAAACAACAAAATTGGCCATCATACTCCACAGCCAAAAAAACACAAGATAGGAACTAACCTTCAGCTTGACCCTGGGTCAAGCACAGGAAGCCTACAATGCAGACTGATAGATTTATCAGTTTGACGAGTTCCGGGAATGAAGAACTGGAATATCACAGTCAAACAAGCACCCTGAGGGGCAATCCCATAGAAAGCACAATCCGGCTTGGCCAAGTGACATTGTAGACTCTTAGAAAAATGCCTTACACTGACCTGCACATTCTGAGCATCTCCCATCAAAATCGCCCTCTCTGACCGAGTCTGCGCACTTAAATCTCGGTCCTCATCTGGGGCTTGGGCTTTATCTCCAACAACCAACAACTTGCGAAACTCAGCACCAAGTGTGATCAAGGTAGTTGAAATCTGCAGGTGAAGATCCCCGTACTTGCTTATAGAAACATTCAGAAGATCACCAACATGCTTCATGCGATCAACAAAGTTCTGCAGCCGATTCAAATCAGGAACCTGAACCAGAGTCTGAGGAAGATCTTGGGCAGCGTCAAGAGCAGCTTGAAGTTGAAGAAGTTGATCCCTAGACAAGGGCTTGGAAATGGGAACGTCTTGAATAACAGCAGACTTATAACCCTTTGTCTCAAAGGTAAGAAAAGGCATTGGCTGAGTAGAATTAGGAGGCAGCTTCTTCACCAATTTAACCTGAAGCCGATTCGCACCCCCAGACTCACTGGAAATAATACTGACACTGCTACGAACAGCGCGAAGAAGGAGGGAGATGTCAAAGGCGAACGCAATGCGGTCTTCATTCTGGCTGGAAATACGATAGTCGTCGAAGAGAGCTTGTTTGCGGAACTGAGCAATGGATTGGATGCCGTCGGAGGTGGTAAGGAGGTTGTGGAGGAAGAAGGCGTGCTCTCTGGTGAGGAAAAGATGGCAAATCTTTCCCATTTTGTCCAAAGCAGGCAGGAATCTCCTGTCCAGCAGACTTACGCCATTCTCAGTCACAAATGCCTTGAACTTCATATTCTTTTCTTTGTGCGTGCGTGTGTGTTCTGTGAAGAAGGCGCTCACCACATCGGCGGATGCACGAAGAGGAGGGAAGGAAAGATGTGAGAAAGGGTTTTGTTATTTATTAGTCTTACGGTCGAGTTTTGAAAATTAATTAGGCTTGGTGGGTAAAATAAGAACTTTATATATATATATATATATTCCTTTTCTTTTTCTTTTTTTCTTTACTGTCAGCCTAGGTTATGTTATGTTAGACCATTTTTTATTAAAAATATATTAAATTTTTATTTTTAAAAAATTTATTTTTAACTCATCAATTAAAAAAATAAATTCAAAGTAAAAAAAAATAGAAAAATAATTTCTTTTTGACAAACATGAGTACGAGGAAGGGATGCGTGTGTTTGTTCTATCACACTTTCTGTTCATGGCTTTCCAATTTGGACACCAAAAATAAAAAAGCCATAATCAACGAGATTCATTCATAGAGTAGCGTGAGGGCAACATTCCTCCAGGTTATGGAAGATGTGTGGAGCTGGGAAGTCCTCGAGGAACAACTCGCGACTTCTAATTAATGATTTTTTCCAGGAAATCATTTTTTTTTTCAGCAACAAGACAATTTCTCCAGATTATACCGACGCATTTTTCGAATATGTCAGCTGCATGGTTTCCCTGAGCTTACAGCCTTTTTTGACAGAGAAGCAACACAATCACACGCACTTATCTTCTACGTTTCACTACTCTTACGTATTACATGGCCGGTGGCCGGTCCTCTACAAGATGAAGCTTGTTCAACATGTCGGCCAAAGCTTGCTGCGTAGCCTCGGAACAATGTTGTGATTTCCTCCCTTCCTCTACAACCCGAACAATGCATTTGTACAAATGATCATACCTGTGAATTGGGTTATTGATGTCAATACCGCGGCAGCTGTGATCAAGAACATAGGACCGCTTCATATCTTTTCTCCACCGTGTGAGGATGTACTGAGGCGGCATCTCCTTCAAGCCATTTTGGTTAAGGACACTTAATGCATGCCTACACAAGTACCCGCTAATATTGAACAATCCACAAACACACAGAACATCCATTTCGGATGCGTTGTACATGACCTCAAAATCTCTAGTTTCCCGCTTACTTCCTTCAACTTCAACTTCTTCTTTGACTAAATATGTCATCACCTGTCCATCAACATAAGCTTGTCTTGTGCTAAAACAGGAGTACATACCCTCCACCTCCCTTTCAAATCTCCTCAGGATTTCATTTGTGTACAACTTTGAGAGTTGCAGCTCAAAGAAACACCTTGATTTTAGCATAAAACTTGAATTCCTCGAATCCATATCAGCCAATGATTCAAGCTGACGATTCGCCTGTAAAGCTTGATCATAGTTGTCCATAAATTCTTTGAGAGATGTATGTCTATCCAGATACCCTTCAAAAAATGAAAATGCAGTTTCATTTTGCTGGAGCGGTAACATTCCTGGCAGAAATGTCTCTTTCAAATAGGCTGGAACCCACCTTTTCCTATCCTCATATAATGTTTGGATCCATTTATGATCCCTGATTCCATGATGCTGTGTCATCTCTTCCCAAGCTGCTTCAAATTCCTCAGGCCTGAGAAAGCAGTAAACTACTTTACTCAATGATACTTTAATTGCTTCAAAATCAAACAATTCTCCCAGAGCCTCTGGAATTCTTTGCAAGATACGTGACAAATAAAAACAATGAGAAGCTCTCGGGAAAACATCAGCGATAGCAGTTTGCAAGGTCTTATGGTGGTCACTGATGATAGCTTGTGGAGGACGTCCTAACATGCATGTAAGCCATGCCCTCAACAGCCACATATATGATTCTGTTGTTTCATCGGCAAGCATACCACATCCCAATAGGATAGGTTGTCCATGATGGTTTACTCCAATAAATGCAACCAGTGGTACTTCAAATTTGTATGTCAAGCACATAGTGTCAATTGCAATTACATCACAAAAATAACCATACGCAGCCCTAGACCTTGCATCAGTCCAAAACAAATTCCTCATGTATCCTTTCTCATTAAGTTCTACCACGTAAAAGAAGTTGGGATCCATCAATTGCAAGCGGAAAAAAAAACTTTGAACAGCTTGGGCATCTCCTTCTTTAAGCTTTAATTGACTTGGCAGGAGAACATCATTCCCAAACTGTCCTCCATCAGTATCCACACCTCCATTTCCCTCAGCATCAACAATCACAGTGCGAAACAGCTTAATTTTTTGTACTTCTTCAGGACCATCCAACTGCAATGTCCTTTTGGTCCCAGGACCAATAATTTTATGAGATTTATAGAATTTACCGCTTCCTGGGGTAATTAAGTGATTGTGCTCAAGTTCGACTTCAATAATTTTCCACCTTTTGTTTTCCATCAACCTGAACTTCACCATCGCTGGACAGCCTGTTCTTGTTTCAGGTCTTGGTCGGTTTGCTTCACTTTTCTTCTTGAAGCCTGCACTACTGCAGCTAAGTTTTCCTCTGTATCTTTCTTTACTCTTCCTGTACCATGTATTACTTACTCGAATACCAAATCCCTGTTGCTTGGCATAGCAATTGTAAAAGTAATACACGTCCTCATAGGACTCAAACTCCATGCCAACGGAAGGAGGCAGGGGGTTCTCAATCACACCAGTCTGATTGACATATTCCGTCATCGCACAATCTCCTTCAATCCCACATTCATCAGCATCATCATCATTTCCCACCGATTCTGTGTTAAGACACTCTTCTTCCATCTACAAAATACTCAAAACCAAATGGCAATAAATAAATAATTTTTAAATTAAAGTAACAATCACTGGAAATTAATTTATCATGTTTGTTAACAAAGAGATTAGTTTGCTAGCAACCCACTTCTCTTCCATGGCATAAAGAATCCTTACAGAGAAAGCCCATGACTACGAAAACATAGATTCTTCTTCACCATCTCAAGAAATGCACAATCATTCAGTTATCTACCTCCAAAAGAGAATTACTCAGGATCTGACATAAACAAGCAACAATCTTTTTCTTTCCTTTCTTTTCTTTAGGTGCTAACAAGCAATAATCTTACAAGCAAGAAAAGTTATTGTTTCAGTAACAGATCAAAACTTTAAGTCCCTAAAACACACAAAAAGAGAGTAACCATCTCCAACCAAAATGAGAAGTCACCTGAAAATCAAGAGAGACCCCTCTTTCTACTTGTAAGGAAACAAAACACCAAACCACCAACTCAGCTTCAAAACCCAACAAGGATTAAGGAAACTTTATGTAAGTGGTTTTTGTTTCAGAATGGAGCTGAGGGACTTCAGTGGGAGAAAAAGATTTATTGAAGAAATTTCTTCCATTTTGCTTTATGGGTGCCGTTCTTTTTATTTTATTTATACCGAATCCTCGCAACTTCAATTTATTTCCAATCGATGCTCTGTCCGATCATATTTATAAAATATAGCCACCGCGTTTTTTCTAATTAAGCTTTTGATTGATTTTTAAAATATCTTTTTGTTTAAAAATATATTAAAATAATATATTTTTAAGATTTATTTTAATATTAGTATATCAAAATAATAAAAAAATTAATCTAAAAGTGAAAAATTTTAAAATTTTAAAAAATACAGCTAATCCACATTACCTCTAATTACAACCATAGTTTCAAAACCTAACCCGGTTCGATAGGTCGACCCAAGACACGGTTGATCCGGGACTGGAATTCAATAGGGTTAAAGAAAAAATAGAGAAAAAAAATCTAGTATGACCTAGTTGACCAGGTAAGCTTCGGTCAAAAACTAGATTGTAACCCGTTGATTTTTTTTTTTTTACTAAAACAACGTCGTTTTAATTAAAAAAATTGACCCAAGTGCTTTGGTAACCCAGTCAAAACTTGAAACCCAAGCCTTGGACCTTACTAGTCACCAAGCCGGGTTTGAAAACTATGGTTACAACCATATTTAATGACACGACTAAAAGATTGATATCTTCTCCCAAGTGTAGGAGTGTCGAAATAATAAATAATCCGGTAAGACTAGAGTCAAACCATATGAAGGTTAATTATATAAATTATAAATAACAATAACAAGAATAATAATAATAACAATAACAATAATAATAATAATAATAATAATAATAATAATAATAATAATAATAAGAGCTTTGAGATGTGATATTGATGTAAGGATTAAACAATGAAAAAAAAATAATTGTAAAGGTTAGATGATTTATTAATGGTATTTCAAACAATTATAATATAAACTCTTTTTATTACTCAACTGGAAACCACACACGAAGAAAGTTTTAATTAGATTATAAATTGTTATCTTATTCGAATAAAGCTAATACTTGTAATAACTTATGTTAACAACAAATAAAGTTCCTTTTATAACATATGTGTCGGTTATACTATACAGTTAGGTTATGAAAGTGCCAAGTATTTGTTGTACCAAGTATTATATAACATAAATCTAGATTAACCATTTAACAAGCAAAATATTAAAAGTGAATAAAATAACAAATACAAAACATGTTAGTATCAAACATTAAAGTTTATATTGAGTTTATACTATACTTATTCTTACACCATTAATGTAACCTTTTCAACTTAACAAAATAAACTTAACTAAACATAATAAAGAAGAGAAATATAAATAAACAACATAAGAACATAGATATAGTAAAGGAAATGAAAAGCATAAAAAAGAGATTAAGAAAAATATAACATGAAATAAAAATTAAACATACAAAAATATAAAGAAAGAAATAAAGAGCATGATTTTGATATAAAAACTAAGATATCTAAATACATAGTAAATACCTCATTTTATAGGTCAAAATTTGGAACTACTGATTTGATGATTAATTGTTACGTGGATGACCAACTTTAGCTTTGGTGACAATCATTATCTTATTGTCTAAACAAAATATCATTGCTAACGTTAGAATTCGAACAAACTTGAATTATGAAAGTTATAGAAAATTGTCTCAGTTTTACAATAAAAAATAATTAAGATCATTTGAACTCTTAGAACTCAAGATATGAACTGAACACTGAACAATGTCTGAGTTGCAAGACAGATTCTAACTTTTTTTCATGCTAAGATTTGAACTTCCAAAATGAAAAATTAAGTTTTGGATAATCATGAATGTTTTATACCTATG